TGGGGTTTGGATCATGAGGTTACTCTGTGGAGAGGTCATCACAAGAGCAGAACCTGGTGTTTTAAGCTGATTTGTGGATGATATACTGGATATTCAACCCTTCACATTGTCTGCGGCTGGAAATTTTGGTCAAAAGTATCCTTCACATGTGACAGCACCCCCAGCAGTACTATGTAGAGAAGGCTCTGGCTATTTTTAAGCGTTGGATTAGTCAGCTAGCTTAGTTAATAATGAAAGGCACTGGAACTTGTGAGGATTTTTCTAGCTAGAAACTACTGCAGGTCCATAGGGACGGCTTTGGCAGCGGACTCTCTGTGAGGAAGGATTCCCAGCATCATATAGATTAAAACATTTTTTTTTTTTTATGGCTATAGTAAATGAATATTTTCTTTTTCTTGGGAATGCAGGGGTTTCACATCTGCCATATTTCTGTTCATATTGATTTAGATGGGAGCCAGGGCAACACTGAATGATCTAATGAGAACTTTTACTAACTTCCTTTGTAAAACCCAATCCTGAATTCTTCATCTGTGCCAAAGTCTTATTCAGCTCTCTCTTAAAATGATGATTTGCCAGCTTTGTTTCAGAAATGTTTGCTGCAGTACACAACATTCAAAGTTTCCTCTGAAAATCTGAAAAAAGTCAGGTAGTATGTTGTCAGCTAGATCAAAACAGCAAATAAGGTTTCAGAGATGGGAAAAAGGAAACTGGTGTGTTCACAGGTGTGAGTGAGGTGGAGCAGGCAACATAATTATGAGCTCTGCATTCCCAGAGAGTAAGTAGACCAGTCACCTCATCTTCCTTTAAGATATGCTAGATTTTTCTCTCTTAGTTCTTTCACTCTAAGAGACTAAGATTTGTCTCTTAGTTCTTTCCCCCTGTGCTTATACATTTTGGCATTGTTACATGTTGAAATTCAGTATTCTTCTGTGATCTGCCTTCTTTGGGGTGCGGGGAGGTTTTTTGCCCATGGGGATAGGAAGACAATCACAGATGTGAGGGGAGTTATGCTTTGTAATACAGAAACAATGAAAAAAGTATTATTTTATATAACACACAAAACTCAGCCCTTTTTTCTTTTACTAATACTCCCAAGGCAGTGTTAGCAATGCATCCTCAATATGTGAGAATTGATGGGAATAGGCAGAGGTTCCTCGGTGATGGAAAACAGAAGCAGCTGGTGGAACATGTCCCCCATCCCTGTGTGACTTTCTTCATGATGTATCTCAAGAAATCCTTCACTTACGGTACAAGGGGATGGAACAAGGTGAATTGGTAGACAACTCTGAAATGGCACCTCTCTGCTGTTCAGTGGTAGCATGATGCAATGTAATGTCAAAAATATTCCTGTTATATTCAAAATACTGGGATTTTGTGACTAATAAGGTTGGGGTTCATCACGTTCCTCTCTGCCAGAAAAGAGGGGTGGGTTAACGTGATCCTTGTCCTCTGCTGTAAGCTAACTGCTTTGTTGAAACTTGTAGGAATGTAGTATCTCAGATCCTTACTGTTCTGTTATCTTTTGGTTGAAATTACCAATGGATTCAAATATTACTGGGATGCTCCCAGGCAGGCACACAGATATACACGCTCAGGGACAATAAAGCTCAAGTCCTTGGGAAACTGAGCCACAAATGACTTTCAGTTCAAATTGAATGAGAGCTGCACAAACTGTACTGGGATTTAGCTGAAACTTAATTAGCAATAGGACCTTACCTATGCTGATCTTGAAGGCTGGTTCCTAAGGGCAAGGAAATTAACTGCTTAAGTAGAACTGTGAGGGAGCTCAGCATTACAGCATTATTCACCTTTATTTTGCAAAACCACCTGAATTACTCCAACTCTGGAAAGAGATTGTGTTTCTTTTGTACTCACTAATTTCTAGCTCCAGATGGCAATGTAGGTGGGTAACCCATAAACAGACTCATTTTTCCATCCTGTGCCTCTAATAACCACTGCATTCTCCTTGCTGCCAAGCTATTGCTCTCAAGTGAGAAATGCTTTCTTCTGCTTTTTTTTTCTAAAAGTTGTTGTACCTACAGTTAGTGGCTCTTGCCTCTGTATGTGATTGGGTCACTAATCTCTGCTGCCAAACTTTGCGTTAAGAGCTGGCAGTGGTTTCCTGACTCAAGATCGTGGCTTCCTGCTCTCCATGCAGACAGGCCTTAGTGGGTGCCATTCAAAAAGGGCTGCATGGCTGGGATTTGTATCGGTGGCATGTGCTCAAGGTCTCCTGGTGGACCCTATTATTTTGGAACATGCTGTTCTTAAGGAGGTCTGCATTTGCACTGCTCTTGTTTTGTAAATGGCTTTTACTCTTTTTTTTATCCCCTTGGAATCATACAGTGTAACTTCTTTTAATCCACGTGTCTGTCATCTGTTGCGTGAAGTAACTAGTTGATCCATAAACTAGAAAATACGTGTATGCAGGTGTTAAAAGCCTACAAGAAAAAATTGCTGAGGACCATTAAAGCTGATCCTTGCTCTTGTAATCAAAGATAAAGGATTCTTTTTCTTTAACCCAAAGTCTTGTCTTGTCTCGATGTCATATTGGATATTGGTTCTTCCTAAATGTTCACTGCAACTGAAAGGAGAGGTTCTAATGTCTCTGCAGCACTTGAACAGCTGGGTTAAATTACTATCCTGTGGTCTGTTTGTGACTATCTTTAGGAAATCGGGCAATGTCAAAATATGGGTCACTGGCAGTTGTTTTTCATAGAGTATTTTGCACTACGAATCTGCAGAATGTATTACTTTCTTTGAATTTTTGTGTATAACCACAAAGTGGGCAAATTCACTGGTTTGTGAACTTATTCTGTTTGCAAAGTCTGGTGCCAGTTCATGGAATTCAAAACTATTTAATGGGATGTGCGTTTGGAATGGACAGTATGTATGGCCCTACTGCTGTCCTCCCTCCTGGGGCCATTGTTTGCAGTTATGGAAAGTTCACTTTGCTTACTTCCATATGTTCTCTGTATTGCTTATTTTACAATATCAAAATAATATAGTTAGTTGCCACTCAAATGTTCTTATCTAAACATTGCTTAAATTTGACTAAAAAATTAATCAAATTGTCCTATGTGGGATTCTTGTTTAAAAAATATTTGAAGTTGTTTCAGGGTGGGGATAGGCATACAAGTTGTAGCCTACTCAGAAGAGCCACTTGACTGAATTAATATTTGTCCTGAATCACCTCAAGCTGTACCCAGTGGCTGATTAATCTGATAAAATTGTGTAACTCTTTAATAGACTGGAGTTTTAAGGTTGTATCAGCAGAGAGAAGACATCTGACAAGACCACCACTGTGCTCTATTGAACTTGGAATGAGGTTGGGACTTTGGAGCCCACAGAAAAATTGATAGTCTTAAAGACCCTCTTAGATTAGCAATGCCTGGTTTGCAGCCCTATATTTTTTGTAGTGAGTAAATTAAACCTCTTCCATTTCTTGTTTGGTGATTCTGTTATCCCAGACTCTTTCTGCAGAAGCCTGCTGCACAAACAAAGGGAAGGGTGAGAAAGTCCAGGTATTGCACAATGGACAAACCTTAGCCTGTAGGAAGGTTTCATTTGTTGTTATATTCTGATTAAAGAAATTGTCATGTCATTTGGCAATAAGGTAATTGGCTGACCTTACTGCCAGGCGATGAGGAGCTGTTGAATAAACTTTCCAGTCACTCATTTGTATCCGTACCAATGTTTCTTTCTGTACGAGCTTCCATGGATAACAATCACCTTGATACCTACATAGACTTTGTTGGCTTGTACATCTCAACTCTCCTAAAAGTATGAAACACTTTTAATAAAAAAACCAAAACAACGAAACTGATAATAGTTTCAATAAATTGCTATGTTAGACAACAGTGTAAACACTGTTGGGAAACAATTGGCCATAGAGGAGATAACAGACCTATTGCTTCTCAATTGCATGGACCTTTCTAGAACTTTGCCTGTGGCTCTTTGGCTGGAATTGGCTGTGTCAGGCAAGAAGCAGCCACGTGCGGAGAGGCAACTCCTCAAAAGGAGTGCACCCAACATCACTGGTGTGCCATAAGACCCAGACACTGAATCTTCTGATCCTCACTGGATTAAGGAAATCTGTAGGAAACTATATGAAGAAATCTCCTCAGATCTGTTTCCAGACATCTGCTAACTTAGTTTTGTGTTTGATTTCCCCTTAGAGTATGATGCAAATAACACCAAGGTTGTGGGTTAGATCCCCATAGGGGCCATCCATTTAAGAGTCAGACTCAATGATCCTTATGGGTCCCTTTCAACTCAGAATACTCCGTGTGATTCTGTGCATAACTTTTGAGAGAATGTTGCAATTACCAGCCATAGGAGAGTTAAGAAAAGTCTTGGCCTGGGGTATATCTCAATATTGCTTCCAGGAATGAACATGAGCTTGTTTTCTACTTTTTAATATAAAATTGCATATGGCACAATTGTTCTTAAAAATTTCAACTTTATTACTTTGTGTCCAGTTAGATCAAATCAGCTGATTCCTTGCTTGGAAATTCAGTGGAATTTCTCTATGCTACCCTTTATTTCTTTTAAGGTCCTTGCTTCTCTGAAAATATGATTTAACTTTTCCTTGAGTGATACTTCTCACACATACTATGGAAATCCTTCCCAGTATAACTATTTGAAATGATGTGTAGTGTAATGGTTATAATCTTTCAAACTAATATTTCTTCAAATTTCTGTACACTCCAAATGCTGAAAGACAGTGACATAAATACTAATTTGAGTTGTTTTACTGTGTTGTTTGGAAGCATGCTGCTGTGGGCTGCCAATATGTGATGAGAAATGCAGTGGGACTAATTTCTATTCCACTTAAAAAAAAAATTAAAGTGGGTGCAAAAAGGTCATGCCTGATGCATAAACTTTGTAAAAATCAAGGTTTAGCACTTTTGCTGAAGATGCTATTTAAGAGGTGATCTGTAGTATTTGGATCTGAATGCTATGAGGCTGTATTAGGGTTGGTTTTTTTTTTTTTTTAAGAAAGCTTAAATCTAGAAGTGTTCCATGGCTGGGTATCTTACAGTGAACATGTAACATTATAGCTACTGAAGTTCTTCAGAGTTAACAAAATTGAGAAGAAACAAGTCTAATTAAGTTAGTCTGTGGTAACATTATTGCATAAATTAGTGGACATAATACAACCAGTAAATAACATTGAAAACAATAAACGTGATGGGAAAGACCATTCTGGACCACTTGTCTATCAAGTTAACATCAGTCAAGTCAGGGATTTTGACTTTGATCTGGGATGCCCTTCTTCGTAAGTGTCCTTTCTTATGAAGCCTGTGCCTGTCCAGAGGACTCCTGTTGTAGAGATCTCTGCTGGAAGTGGCTCTTCTGTACTGCAGGTTGGCACTGTCATATGTGTATGTGGTGGCTCGAGGGTCACGGAGGCTCGTGAACACATCTGAGCTGCTGACATCATTTCGTGTTTCAAGTGGTCTAAGAAGCATGTTTCCATGGGGATCAACCTGTGTCAAGGAAGGAATGTGGATTAGACAAGTTCCTCAGCCAGCCCAAGGTGTTTCCCAGATGGACCTTCTGGCTCTACTACTGAAACACTCCTGCAGTGACAGTCGTGTCTGGTGCAGTGTTCACAGAAGTATAAAGATACTGAATACACTTCCCCGACTAGTGTGAAATTAGCAAATAAACGTCTAAGTACCTTCCATCCTGACCCAACTTCTTGGTCTAGGACCTTATAATTCAGTTAGTTATCTCATCCTCTGTGAAATAAGACTTTTCTAATTTTATCTTTAGCTTGGATCACGGTCTTTACGAAATACTGATTTGTAATGTCTGGTGACTGGACACTTGAAGGTTTCATGTACACAAGGTGAAAAGAAAATGTTACTGTCTCTGCCCATTTTAAACAGTTTTATACAGTTTTAGTGCCAAAGGTTAGTTTAAAAGAGTTTTCTAACAATGGGTTCATGATATGAAGAGCACAAAGGTACAGTTATGTAAAATGTTCATGATGAAAATTGATTTTGTGCAATTACTACATTGCAGAGATGGAAATCATAGCACATCATTAACTTGTTCATGTGCCTTGTCGTAATCCATTTTACTCAATGGAACGCTAAATCCAGCTCCATTTTTATGTGTTGGTACCAGAAGCAGTTGTTTTAAATGTTTGTCACTTTATTTCTGCTGTTATTTAGTCAGGGCACAGTTTTAAGTACCTAAGCAAAGAACTGGAAACTGCAACCACTATGTGCATCTGGCACAATATTTTATATATATATATATACAATATTTTTGTATCATTGTCTTTTTTTACGTATAAATATAATCAACCATGAATGGAAGCATTGCTACAAAGTGTTTTTACCTTTTCACAAGTCTTTAGTTTTCCACCTGTTTGTAGTAAAAACTCTTTTGAAAGGTTTTTTGGTGTTCTCAGGATGACTTCCGACTTCTTCATAAAGACTTTCTAGATGTCTCAAATTCACAGATATTTAAACATCCACTGTAGCTCGTATGAGGGAAATACACATCGGAACACAGGCTTCTTAAATGAAACTTCAAAGACTTCACCTCCAGGCTTGAGTATTAAAATTGGTTTTGGTAAGCTGTGGTGTTTGACCTATCCCAAATATATTACAATCTAGACCATGTGGATACCTTTATATCAAGGAATAAAATAGTAATTATAGACAACATCTGGTGGTGTGAAGCACCAGTGATACGCAATGCTTTGTTTGCACTCTGATCTTTACATTTTTAGTAAGACATAGAAGAGCTAGGAAATAATATAATAATCTACAGCAGATTTAAAGTATGTTCAAGAAAAATCTCCAAGAAAAACACGCAGGGAAACCCAGTCTGTGGAGTTGCCACAGAAAATATCTGGGAGCCAGAGAAGGCCTCGGTTCCACCTGGCAGTGTGGAATATGTTCCTTCCCATTGCCAGGAGAAAACATCATGTAATGACTGCTGATGTCTTTGCACTGTGCCAGACTAAGCACCTGCCAACTGAGAACAAAGCAGTGAAGGGGCTATTTGTACAAAAGGCACCCAAGAGATCTGTGGGGTAAAAACATCTTCTAAATGGAGTATAAATCAGCACAGATAGAAAATGCACTTGTCTGGTTTAGCAACTGCTTCTGTATGTGCTGAAATGAGCATTTAGTGGGAACACCCCAGTTCCCACCACTGTTTTGGTGGGAAAAACACATATAATGGGTTAGAGAGGCCAGTTTAAATGTCACAAATGAGCATGCTGTTTCAAATATTTGCTTGAGATATAGACTACCCAATTTATACTTTTTAGGTCAAGCCTTCAAATTTAAGCAGAAGGAAGATTTAAACTAGGGTTTCCTGCTCTCCAGAGGACTGCCATAACCATGGGACTATTCATTATTCCGAAGATATGACATTTTTTCAGTGGAAAAAATAATGATCTCAGACTTGTCTCTATGTAGAAAGATTTTTTTTTTTAACACTCAGAAGTTTTGATAGTCAACCTTTTCATCCCAGTTTTATGAAATAGCTCTTTGAGCTGTCTTTGATTACATATCTAATGTGTAAGTTAATTGACTTCAGTCTTGTAAGAGTAGTAACAGTAATGCAAGCATCATTAGGCAGTTATTATGACTTTTCTTTTGACAAGACAACTCTTAACAGCCTACAGTGTGAAGTGATTCACAGGGATCTTTTTTAAACTAATATGCCCTGACAGTTTACTATGAGGCAAGCAGCGCATGAATTCCTACCCTAAGTGTTCTGAATGAACCCGTTATTTTTAGAATAAGTTTCATTTAAACCATTTTAGGAAAGGTGATTTGTATATATCATGAAACAATTTGGTCTTTGAATTGAAGTCTTTGCAATTCACAGCAAATTACACTGATCTTGACTAAATTAGCTCAGGGAAGTATAAAGTGTCATCTTATGTACCTGGTCAAATTCTCTGTGTGATGTAAAGCTTGTGGGAAATAGTTAAATTTCCAAATAATTAAAAATCCTTTCAGTATACCTTGAAGTTCACATCAAAATATTCTTAAAACTTGTGCAGCTGAGATTTTGTTACTGAAGCTTAGTAATTCTACAAATTCCTGCAGGAATCTGGAAAATGTACAACTTGTTAAGGGATCCCCAAAAGAGACTTGTTATTAATTTTATCTAATGTTATTTTTAGAATGAATTAACAGCAAATATGTGCACAGTAAATGCTGTAAATTTTCTGTCTTAAAATTTTTTTCTCCCTTACTTAATACAAGGTTAGTGGGGGCTTTCTCTTGACCCTGTCTTGGAGGAAGCCTGTGCATCAGAACCAGAGAGCAGCCTTTAACTCATTCCAACCCATGCCTCAGTGATGAGGCTCTTTCCCCACATCAGATAGGTACTGCAGTTGTACAGTCTTTGACATATTTGCATCAGATGGCATGACAAAAAATGGAGATGAGTTTTCTGACCCAGTAGCTGTCTGGCTGCTTGCTTAGGAGTAGAGTATCTCAGTCCCCTCCTTATGGAGGAAGGATGAGCCATATCAAGCCTAGAGTGCTTTTTCCTTGCTCAGATATGATACATTTATGCTTTCAAATATCACCGTGTTGCTCTTTAACTGGAATGCCCTAAATTTTGTTACATAAGCTGACCATGGCTCAGATGAAAACAAGATTTCTTGCTTAACAGATATTCTGAGCCTAAATGTGTGTTTGCACAAACACTTTGGTTTGTACAATGCATAAAACTTGCCTAAAGTTGTAGAAAGCTGAAGAACTGATTTTTTTTTTTGGTCTTTGGAACATATAATGAGGAATATGTGACGAGCATGTCAAATGGTCTAAAGCTGATGATGTGTTAGTCATATGGTGTAATTATTGAAGTTTATATTTTCTTTAGGTGAATGTATATGGTAATGCTTCTTGTAAGAACATTTGTATCTGTATTGAGAGTGTATCTAAATTAAGTATATAAATTTTTAATTTTTCCTTTGCAGTGGAACTACCTAAAGCCTAAATCAGCACAGGTGCATATATATGAATTTTCATAAGTGTATGATGTGTGCTGAGGAAACATCATTAAAAAAAAAATAATAATTTTGCTTGTATATTTACTTAGAAAATGAGTTTTCTGCTTAGGACCACCAAATTATATTGTGAAACAGTAAAGTAATAAAACCAACCCAAAACAACGGTTCTGTGTTGACCACATAAAACACAGTCAGTCAGCTCTAGCGGAAGAATAGCATGTTGGCATTCCTTGACAAAGAATGGGTCTCAAACGCTTAATGCTGTCTGGAATGAGTTTTTACCTACCTATTTTTTTTATCTTAACTGTTGAGAGATAAAAGGTAAGAACTTCTATTTTATCTCAATACAAACCCGTCTTCCTCTTAAGATGAAAGATTCAGGGCCACATTACTCACATAAGCTGTCTTGTTGGAACAAATGTAGTAGTGTTATCACAGTCTGATCTGCAAAGAAACAGGTTATGCTCAACAGGGCTATACTTATTCCAGTGGGGATTTACTTGGTGTTTGAGTTAGTTGTGTGGTTATATACTTCCCTTTTTTTTTCTCCTTCCGCTAGCCACTCTATTGGAAAACCATGGTTTCCTCAGAACCTGTGGCTGGTCTCTGGCTTTCTTCTGGGTGCTTTGTGATTCACAGAAGGTTTGAAAGGAAGGTATGATGCTGTGCAGACTCAGGGAGCGAGAGACCATCTATCACTTGCCTTGTGTTGTCATTTATGAACCTTATGATAGCTCAGTCCCTTTCCCACTCACAGTATGATTGCATTCTAACTTTTTCTCATATTTAAGAGAAATCTTCTCTGTAACAATTATTCACACTATCATAGTCTGGGGAAACAGGAGCAGTTGCATGCATGGATGATCTAAATATTTTCTTGCTGGATGGTTTTGTCCTATTTATCCATAATTAGGGTGGTCTCCTCAATGACATCTAGCTTCAACAAATAAACAAGGACATATACATAGTCTTTATGCTTTATTCAGAGAAACAGGCATAAATTGTGCAACTGGAAAGACACTATTTCCACCTTCTTCAGTCTGTAGAGCTAGGAACAGCCACATAGGAAACAGCAGTTCAGTTTCACTGTTCTTCAGATCTTCTCTGTACTGGTAATATCGTGGTCTGTTTGTTGAGTGTTGCTCACACATCTAATGCTTTTGTTATCTGGTGAAGGAATTTGAACTCTTTTACTCATGGGAGTTGCATGTCAGATGGGAATGATTAGTATCTTCACCTGGCACAAAGAGATGAAGCACTGTTACATATCATCTATTGGTTGGAGGACCCTGTATGGATAAGTGGTGTGGGTCATGAGCAGAAGGGAAAAAAATATCCTATAGCTATATATACTTACAGATGTACTTTTATGCTCCAAAAAACTCTCCCCTGCTCTGGCACAGACATCATAATACCAGTGAAAAATCTCAAAACACAATGGAGAATAGCTCGGAGCTGCTTTCACATAACCTTACTGTGTCCCACTTTTCCAGTCGTGTACTTTCTTCCTGCTAAGGACAGAAATACAACCCGTTGGACATCAGCATTTCCATGCTGAGTAAAATGAATGTTCACGAGGTCCCACATCAATGTGTGGGATATAAAATCCATTGATATCCATTCACATGTGTGTGTTTATGTGTACATATATATATATATATATATATATATATATATATATATATAAAAATACACACACACACATAAATATATATATAAATATGTATATATATACGTATCTAAGATCACAAACCTGCACTGTACAGGCAGAAAGCAGTCTGTTCACTTAGAGCACTCTCAGCCTCAGAATGGAATTTCTGTCTCACAGAAATCCAGGTACAAAGCAAGTATGCCTTCTTTTTCTGTCAGAAAAATGCTGGTGGATACATGTGGTTCTCTAAAACCTTTCCATTCCATTCCATTCCATTCCATTCCATTCCAGTCCATTCCATTCCATTCCATTCCACTGCATTCTGAGTACCAGCCTCAGTTTAATCTTTGCCATATAACATTTAGACAAAAGCTTTTAGTTATGAGTTAGGGCTTTTTGTTAGTTAAACAAACTCTCCAAATATATAGAAAAAAGAACTTACCGGCACTCTTATCCTTTACACTTTCTCATCCTTTACTCAGTTCAGTGCACTGGGGCCCGTGGGGACAAGGCTGACCTCTGAAGAAGTGTTGATTCCCTCTTCATCCTGAATCCTTGATGTGCTGCTTATCACCTAGGCTGGGTTATCTCAGGAGCTGTTGAGGTGGCTGGTCAGAGTTTGTGAGTTTTGTTGGGTTTTTTCCCTTCCTTATTTACCATAGAAATGCATAGGCAGTGTCTGCGCACAACAATCCATAAGAAGGTGTCTTATCTCCTCTGCTGTGTGGAAGACAGTACTTTGTGGGACCTTGGAGACTGATGATTGTCTGAACTGATATTGTGCCCCCACTGTAATAAAGCATCTCCTACACAACAGGAACAGGAGGCAAATGTGAGTAAGGACTTTTAATGGGCTCATGAGTTCACTGAGGCTGAGGATATGACAGCTTTGTTAATGATGCTTAGCTGTAGTGGTGTGGCTGCTGGGACACCAGAAACACAAATTTAGAACTAATAAGATATCACAGAGTTTCTGAAACACACTTCCTGATATGTATGTGAAATTGCAACCATCCATCAAGATAAGGTCTTACCTGTTAGAGTTTTATGTGTCGGTCTCATTCTTCAAGCTGAACAGAGGGCTCAAATAAAGTTTTGTCCAAATGTTATCACCTCAGGCCACAACAGTACAGAATTTTATAGGACAGCCTGGGTAAGATCTCATTAATACTTGGTTGCAATATATTGTAAGAAAAGCAGAGAAAGGAAGAAAATTTTTGGGCTCATTAGAATATGTATTTTCCTCTGAGTCAGACTGGGCCAAATATACCTGAGGCTTTGAAGGATTTATTTCTGAAAAACTGGGAAAAGTTGAAATACGTTTAAAGCAGTTTGCAAGTGCTTGGTGATATATTGCAAAATTAAATTTGTCCCTGTTATAAAAAAAGAAAAAAAGTGCGTAGTATGACTTCCTGGAGTTTTTCTGGCTTATTTTTTTTAAGAGAGGGTAGTTGAGGTCTGCTTGAATGTAGCTTAAGGAAAAATCCTGATACCTGTGAAAGCTGTTATAACCTAGCAGCAGCATCCTTTTGTTCCTGGAAGCTCTGTCATATGGGCTTCATTCAGGGCTTACTGAAGCAACAGAGTCTGTCTTTGCTTTTTATTTTTGGTGAAGTTTCTGTGTGTAAAGAGGAACTTTCTTATAAACATTTCTTCTATACTACCTTCTATATCGAAGAAATATACAGCTGAAGTGGTAAATATTTAACTTCCTTGTACCCTTGTATCCTTGTATTTCTTCTCTGCTGCAAAGAAATGTGTGTCCTGAATATTCATTTGCATTTTATGTAGCTTCTTACTGCGTTTTCAGTTAAAGATGGAACAGACCATACACTGCTGTAATCTCTTAAAATTCAGTTTTTCTTTAGGCAATCTTAAATGCTTTTGCATGTGTTCCATCTGCATTTATCTCTGTCATCATATACATCAACGTTGTCATAGTAGAAATAAGGTTTGAAAAGTTAGCTTGAATGTTTTACCTGGACTCTGTTTGTTTCCAGTCTGCTCTTCTTGCCTGGAGCATGTCCTGCCCTGCCTGCTGTCTTTTTTTGATGTTGAGGTCCTTTCCCAAAGAATATGTAGTTTACAAAGGCATATTCCAGCAAGGCCAGGAACACAAACACAAAGCATCCCATCAGGTAAATATCTATTGCCTTGACATAGGGAATCTTTGGCAAGGTCTCCCTGAGGTGGGTGCTGATGGTGGTCATGGTCAGCACAGTTGTGATTCCTGCAAAAAGAAGAAAAAGGCATTGACTAACAAGACAAGGAAAGAGATTTGAGCATGAAAGGCATAGTGACAGCATTACATGCTGCCATGAAATGGTGCATGGACTGGAAAGGAAGATATCCTTGCAGATCTGCTGATCGCACCTTCCTTGGCCTTCCATGCAATGGAGGGTGAATGAAATAGTTTTCAAAAGCCGAGGCTGTCTTGATTAATTTACAGACAGACAGCCGAGGCTGTCTTGATTAACTTACCTTAATTTTTACAATAGCTTTGCTAGGGAACATGGTGCTGGCTGACCTGGATAGCAAAGAATTGATTGATGTTTTTTCTGTGTGAGGAAATGCTTTTCACTTTATTTACAGCCGTACCCCTGCTCGATCCCATAGGGTGACTTGCATTGATCTGGGGATCTGGAATAAGTCTCTAGCTTTTGACTGAGAACAGAGCATTGAAAGGAGAAAAGGAAGCTGCTACATCTCGACTGACGTCAGCAGGATCTTCTGTATACATTTCAGTCACACATCTGGCCTGAGAGGACACTTTTTAACATCTACATGGATTGTTCATGAAGCACAGTGTAGATACCCTTAAATACCTGAATTATAGTTTTACGCTTCAGTTTGGAAGCAAAATACTTTTGTTCTGATCCAAAGACCATTATGACAACAGCAAATCAGTCAGGATCCCAAATTAACTGCAGAGCAAGAGCTTCAGATATAGGCAAGGTGGCACCTGCCTGCCTTCCTGACAACACAGGTCCCACACTGTATATGTAAAATCACAATTAATGATGCTGCAATCAACAATGTGGAATTGGTGCCACTGTATTCAAAGGCAACAAGTATTTATGCAGGTCAGTTATTTTGAGAAGAAGTTACCTAGGGCAACTCTGGCTGCAGAGGCATCATAATTGATCCAAAAAGATACCCATGAAAGAATTGTGATTAGTGTGGAAGGCATATAAGTTTGCAAAATGAAGTATCCAATATTTCTTTTAAGCCGGAAGCTAAGCGATAATCGAGGATATGCTCCTGAAAGAAAGAAAGAAATCATATAATGAGTAATGCCTAACAAAAGTTACACGCTGATATGTCTGGGTTGGGGAAGAGAGGAAAGGATTTTTTTAGCTATCCAGTGCTTACCTGTTGTAAATTCCACTCTCTTTGATACCATCTTGTAATCAACGATAGAAAATTGCGGGAGCTCAATGTTATTAACTCCTGTTACTGCCGACTCTCCTCCATTCCAGTAAAATTCAATATCATCAGTAGTGTATCCATCTGAAACAGAGGCAAAATTTGATTATTGACTTTTCTTTTTGCTTAAATAGTTGAGGTTCAAGTGGAAGGAGTTGTTGTTAACCATGAATTCAGCCTTCTGTTGTTTGACATTCCTGTTATACAGAGGCCATGTAGCCTCCTCCATACCTTGGGGAAGCATTTAGGTATAGAAAGGGAGAAGGCGGAAAGCCTGGACAGAATTTACCTTAAATACAATTTTATAGGTAGCAATAATGTAACAATTTTTCATTCAGGCTTGAGTTGCTCAGTTTGCCAATAGACTGGTACATCAACAAAACTTTTAAACTATGTTTAGAGGAGCTCTGACAGTAAAACCAGGTTCAGTTCCCAGCTTTTCATTTGATTTTCTATCCAGGCTGTAACAAAATACAGAGTTGGGAGCCAGTGGAGGCAAAGATGATTCTAGAAGAATTAAGGTGCCTGTAATATCACCTGACAGTGTCTGTCAGAGATGACGGTAACCCTTTGATATTCATGAAGCATTTTATATTTTAATTAGACCATGCCAACTTTGATCTTCTGTTATCACAGAACTATTTCTTTTTTTACTTCATAACTAGCACCTTTCTTCTGTTTCCTTTTAGCAGTGATGTTGATTATTTATAATTTAATTAAAAATTAATTTACCATTCTACCATTTGGAATGTTAAAATTACTGTTATCGTTTTCAGAAATATTTTGATTGAACTAAAAAGTGACTGAATTTCGAAAATATCTCACAATTGACAACATTTTTGAACTAATATTTAAATGGGTTCCACTTTATTGCATTTTTCTAATTTCTCCATATATCTACCAAAGGAGAGAACAACTTCTCATCTATTTTTAAACTATTCCTTCAGGTGTCAGATTTAATCAGGTTTAAATCATATAACAGAGATCAAAAAAAACATGTGTTTGAACTCAAAGCTTTAGAAAACTTGACAGTAGTTTTGCCAACTGAACTAACCATAGCATCAGAAACCTCTACATAAGTAGGAACCTATTCTTTCATATACACCAGTAACACAATATCTAGCTAGGGAAATTAGTCTGGAGATGTCTTTCCTTATGATGATGCCTGGTAATAGCCTCCTCCTTGGGAGGCTGACCACATACAGAACGGGTTCATGGTTTCCCTGGTGACAGAGAAGCTCTCAGGACTTGCTGGCAGGCTCCAGAGACCACTTGGAAAACCTGTAGTTGTTGAACAGCAATCTTTTGATGCAAACACACAGGGATGGGCTGAACAAGGTTAAATGTTCACATATTTTATTGGTGAACTGTTCAGAACCACGGTTTTCTAACTACAGGAATTGCTCCAAACCCCATATTAACCTATGTAATACAGATCACTGCTGTTAGCTTAAAATGGTGCTTTTCATTACTTATGCTAATTTTTTTTTAAATGAACCATCTCAAGGCTGTGACATAGAGCTCTGTATGGCTGGTTTTCATTCCTTTTCACTGCAAAAAACCAAAGTTGCTCCTTAGTAGTGGGCCTTCCATAGCTGCTTTAAAGGCTTTGTACACAAACCACAGGACCGACCTGGACCAAATGTAGGGTGTGATACAGAATGATTGAAAGAGGGAATGAAGACTGCTAAGACTGTTTAAAAGGCCAAGATCAAGACTGGCAAGGAGGTGTTAACTTCATTTTCTTGCAAGTCTGTGTTTTAAAAAAATTTCTCTTGAATGATTTCCCTTTTCAGAAGAGATGGTGCTAAACAGAGGAAATTGGAACTGTCATCTCATACTGAAAGGATATGCGTAGGCTTGGTACTACACAGATATCCTCTACATGAGGTAATACTCATCCTTTATCTTTAGGGGATAGGATAAAGAACAAAAATGACATCACTCCTTAGATGTTGCACAAGTACTTGCTTTAAAGTCACAGGTGAAGGTTTAGGTGTGAGAGTTGTGAATTCTGCCTCAGAGTCTGGAAGAAAATGATGACCCTGATTCGTCTGTACCATCATCACCTAAGGCCCATTTCACACCCTACCCTTCAAATCTGCTCCCATTGTGCCACTTAGTGCTGGGACCCAGGGCAGAGAAAGGAGCCATCTCCAATCCCGAGCAACTCCTGACTTTATATGCAGCCTCTACAGACAGCCTCTGCCATCCTCTTGCAGTTCCTCTGACTTTTTGATGAAAGAGGGGATAGTTTGGGCACCTTATTGAATCTAAAATTCCCTTTCCCAAAGGTGAATTATTGTAGATATAGTTGTTAAAATCCACAGTGGTACGAAATAAACACCTGGAATATCACAGGTCAGATTTCAAAATAAAAAAAGCACAACCTCCTACAAAAGGATTGCACCATGTTATTGGTACACTGTGTGGTGATGCTGGATCTTAACAAAAAGAAATTATGTGAGTTTTGTAATGTAGACGAATAAATATACTTTTCACTAGTCTTGGAAAGGTTTCTGTGACTTTGGCTACTAAATCAAAAGTAAAACTAGTAGGTTATAAAGTTATTTGACCAAAATTTTGCTTGGAAGATATCAGCTCATGACAAGCCATCACTGCTTGGCCATGGCAGGCCATGTTTTTAATCTTTACAAGCTTCAGAGACTTCTAAATACATCAAACAATGGATCTAGTAGTAAGCTACTGCTGTTTCTAAATATACTGATTTCTTCCTTGAATTTTCTCATTTGAAGCTGAAGAAAATTATGAGAAAGGTATAGTGATGTTTTTCAATCAGGAGCATTCACGTTTGTTAGCTCTCTTTTTAGAAGAGTAATTGAGCAGGAACATCTTCCTGTGGTTTTATGTAGAGCAAACCTCAGTACATTCATTATTTCCTTGGCAGTCATTGTAATAACTCTGCTAGACACTAAGAAGGTGTAAACTTTCCCTGGGCAGTCCATTCTCTGTGACAGGACTGTTGCTGTATGATGCCCTTCATTGTGTGTTTTGCACATTATGTAGGTGTGTGAGAGGCATTGCATTCCTGGCTGACAGTGACTCACAGGTGCAGAGCTTGTAGGCCCTTATGTTCCATCGGCGTTGACATGGTTATTTTCTTTCCAAACTAGCAAACTTGAGAGGAAGACAGCTGGCTGCAGTTTAAAGACAGCAATCGATGTCAGCTCTGAATAGAGTTAGCAGAGGACCGATCGCTCCTTCCTTTTGAAGCGGACAGTGCCTTTAAGAGAGGAGCTGTAGTGATGTAAATTAAGAAACCTTCAACTGTGGAGCAGCACTGACTTCTGGCTAGCAGGCAATGACAAACCCTCATTTTGGGCAGCAAATGCCTTGGCATTTACAATGCAAGAAAAGCTATTTCAGTGATAGGAAAAGTGCGTTTTGCCTGTGCAGTGGCCAGTGTAAATGCTGATTTGTTCACTGAACTTATCTGTACTGCCCAGGTACTCCCTCGGCAGCTCTTTTTGCGTGTAATCCTTTTCCCTCTGCGCATGTATCCATGTCACTAATTTAAAGGGATGCCTCCGCTTTTGTGACATAGAGAGAGAGCAGCACTCGCAACCGGACAAGGATGTGCCAACACAAATTTCATGAGAGTCAGATATCAGTCAGAACCCGGAGCATTTCAATTACGTTCTGCACAGCTGCCGAGGAGCAGCCCGGCGCGGTTTCCCGCGGGATGTGCGAGTGCGGCGCTCACAGAGCCCGGGGCCGGCCCCGCATCGCGCCCGGCGGGCTCCAGGGGGCGCCCGCGCTCCGCGGCCGGCCGGTGGCTGGTAGTGTTTTTTGTTGTTGTTATTGTTTTTTTTTTTTTTTTAATTAATAAATGCCCCGTGAAAAATATTTGATCCGTTTAAGCCTTTGTGTGCGAGATTCTTTTCCATCTTTAACACCGTTGAAAATATTTCATTGCCCAGCTCAAGATATGAAACTTCTACTTACTAGAAAATATTGCCCAGAAATGAAAATACAGCCCTTCATGTGCCAACACTTTTTTTTTTTTTTTAAATTCTAGAGCAGCAGCTGAGAGTTTAAGTGAGAACACTTGGTCAGAAGTACCACAGATCTAAAAAGTGTCTAGATACACACACAGCAAGAAATAGGTTATGTATAAATCTTGCTATTTACAGAAAAAATATTTCGGATATGTTGCTGACATTGTGATACAGCCGAGGTTAACAGTGTATTGGATGCCACCAGGCTGTTTTATTTTTCACTGCAGCACCTACCATCTTAAATACCTTTGGGATAAATAAGGATCTGTGTTATTTTAACAAATAAAAGTCATGGCTCCACTATCTTTACCAGTTCAACAGAGATTTCCCTTTTTTCTTCTGATTCTCCAGCGTAGGTAGCTCTGAAACATCCAGAAGCAGGGTTTCATCCTTAGGATCTGTCTAAATAGGGGCTTTCAAAAGACTACGTCAACTACGTGTGACCCAAATCTTTTGGCCCTGTGTAAGCACATGAAGCTGGAACCCAAGCCTCTTCCATCCCTCCTGGATCACGCCTTTTGTAACAACTTAGTCTTTGTTGCTAAATGTATTCTTATATTTTTCATATTATTATTCCTATGACTGTATTCAAACAGGAAGATATTGCATTTCTCCCACACATCACTAAGGTGGTGCATACAGTGGTAAATGTATTGCACTATTTCAACTTAAACCTGACATGTGAATGGGGAATCTCAGATCTGAAGATGTGTTTTGGAAATCCATGTAACACTGAAGGACTCTGGATAAGTAGTCAAACTTGTACTGAAAATGCCTTACCAGTTAATTTGGCTCCTTCTACTGGATGTCGGTGATGTCAAAGGACCTACTGAGACCAAAATAAATATAATGCAATGCACAATCAGAAATGCACATTAGTATGTTTTATCTAGTATGTCTTTCTTGTGCAAGAGTACTTCCTGTAAGGTATGCTGCTATTTTTATTTTGTGTCCTGTAAGCATTTAATTCTCAGTAGCTATAAAAAAAAAAAAAAAAAACAAACCCAAGGAATTATTAGGAAAGCAAATGCAAAATTCGTTGTTTGTATTTCCATATAAGTTCCAATTCACATTGTGCTATTTCTTGACTACTGTATGCAGTTTTCTTTCTTTGCCCAAAACTGCAGCACTAAGTTGGCTAGAAAGAAGGGTCATGGAAACGATAAGGAAGAGGCTTGCTTCCATGGAAGAAAGGACTGTCTGAGTCATTATTCTTTAGCCTGGAGGCAAAGTGGCTGAGGGAATGTTACGATAAAAGTCTGTTTGATCCTAAGTTAGCATGTAAGCTTGAAGAGCACATGATATATTTACAATCCATCAGACTTCCACACCACGAAAGCAACAAATCATATGTCTAGTGGTTAGTTTGACAGACATAAAGGGATATATAGCACACAGATAAACTGCAGAACTCACTATGTTCACTCACTGGCACGAGTGTCAGAATAACAATCTATCCAGACTATTAAATACAATTATGCTATTTCTGACTTAATATAGCAATGTGCAAAACACTGGAGATGTTTAGTGGGGAAATACCAGCATGTACATCCTATGTTTTGTTCTAGCTTCACTGCTATGTACTGCTGGCCATTCTCAGAGACAAGACAATACATGAGATAGACATTTGATCTGAGACAGTATAGCAGTTAAGGGCCTCACATGTTCCATTGCAGCCTGATTTGTCCATTGCATTACTTTCATCTTTAGAACACTTTTCTTTCATGTGTGGAGTGATGATTTTTAGCCTGATATTGAGGGCCTCTGACTCTACACATCTCTGTGTAATTCCAGTAAATCAAACTGTGATTAGGAAGTCTTGTTCATGCCCACACATTTTGTGCAACCTGCCTATAGTAACTAAGTGGTTAAAATGCCACTGAAAACTCAGAAGTATCTCATATGCAAATGTTCAGTGAGCAGTGCCGGTGGTTTAACTTTGGACTTGAGGCATTTTGATGACCCGTTGTCTAAAAATTTGCAACAATTATATATTTCTTTTCAATTTTTTTTTAGTAAAGCAGGTGTGCAGTATGTGTTCCTGACTAGAGCAGGTACTCATGTAGAGTGGCTCTGAAACACGAAGTTTTAAAATGGCATGTCAGTTGCTTTGGTAATTACGTATCCTGAGGATCTCTTTGTTTAATCTCTTCCATGTGTCTCACTTCTTTGCTTGGGTCCTCTTCTCTTGTGGGGCTGAAACCACTCTGATGTCACACTGTTATGTTCCTGTCTAAGGGCTAGTCAGTACTGATTAGGGCAGCAGCTGTGTATGAGGAGGTAACCCCAATATTCTCCTTGCCTTGCATTGTGTTCATTTGCTGTTGGTACCAGACTGTCCCTGAGAGCTTGCAACTGGCAAGAGAGGGTTTGTTTCTTTCCAGCAGTAGGTGTCAGAAGTCAATGCTTGCTTTTTTCCCCCTTTCTTTTTATCTTCTACCATTCATTCCTCCTGGCTTGATAAGGATGGAGGGGGGGGGGAGGGGGGAGGAAAGCCTCATTTTTGGGAGAAGAAAATGCAGATGACAAATTGTTTCTACTCCAGTCCTGGTAGCAGTGCTGGGAGTGCCAGAATCAGGATGAGAGACACCCACATGTTGGGAGAGATCTGACCTCTCCTGGAAGCCCAGTGTTGCAGTCCTTCACCTTGCTTTCTAACTCAAAGGACTTCCACACCTTCACATGAACCTGACAAAGGTAATTTACTTGCAGTGCTGTCAG